CGACACATAATAATAAAGTTCGATCGAGTTGCGTTATATAAGCAGCCACTGCGGATGTGCGCTTCCTTCAACATTTTCCAAAATATATAGCAAACAAATTCAAATATATCGTAACCTTCGCCATCTAACATTCGCCGCGTATTTCTCTCGCATGATATTTAGAGCGGACAACTGAGAATAAGAAGAAGCAGAAGAAGAGGAGGAAGAAGAACAAGAAGAAGAAGAATAAGAAAAAGAAGAGGAAGAAGAAGAAGAAGAAGAAGAAGAAGAAGAGGAAGATGAAGAGGAAGATGAAGAAGAAGAAGAAGAAGAAGAAGAAGAAGCAAAGTCCGAGGCAAAGTGGATCTCTCTAGTTTATAGAGCTGCATTGTAGCCGTTGCAGCCGAGGGGCAACAATGTAGACAGGGCCAAGGTCTTCTCGACGCACCCATAGATCCTCTCGCCTTGTAGTCAGACAATGAGGAAGCCGCGTTTGTATACCTGGACGACGCGTGCGCCTTCTCGGCATCCTACGCTCACGAAGCGGAGACACGCGAGAGCATTTCTCTTTTAGTGGTGGAGAATGGTGATGGTGGTCGTGGTAGCGGTGGCGGAGGAGGAGGAGGAGGATGAGGAGGAGGAAGAGAAAGGGGCAGATAATAAAGGAGCCTGAGGGCGTAACCGCGTGAATTTCCATTCGTCGATAAACGAGCGGTAAAATCGGCAATTTTACGATTAAGATCGATTTGGGGACGCGTCCTCGAGACAATTTCCCGTGGATGATGTATTGCAGCGTGAAGAGGATCGTTAGGGAAGCCGAGACTGCCTATTTTTAAAACACTGGCTTTGAAATAATATTTTAAAACGCCAGTGTTCGGTCACACTTTCTCTTCGGAAAAGTGGCAATTTCTCATGAGCTCAATCGTTTCTTCCAAGCATGACCGATAAATCATCTAGCAGTTCCTGCAAATTTTCACTCGACGTTGTGCAACCTCGTTTGTCCGATCGGCAATTGAGAACCAATCGAGTCGGACTCGATCGACCGATTCCTTGCACCTCGTTGCGAAATGTCGAAGATTGTCGGCGGAAGAAAGCCGACCGAAGAGAAAAAAAAAACAAAACAAAAAAAAGGAAGCGATCGATAGATTTTTCGCGCTCTTGCCTCAACCTCGTTCCCGAGGAGTCGAAGGTCACGGCGGCGGTGGCCGGTGTGGTTCGCGGGCAGTCTCCCGTCGCGACTTATTTTACGTCTTCCGCTCTTAGCAAATCCTCTTCGCTCTGCTTTTTCACCTTCGCCTCGGCATCGAGGACGAGATTTTGGCGGGACCTCGAGGGTGACTCTGGCCTCGGCCGCGAGACGGCAGCACCGCGCGCGAGCCGTTCGCCGATGAGGTCGCAACGATGACCTTCGTGTCAGGATGGAGGCTGAGTCCCCTTTCGATGACCAGTACTTTTACACAGTAATTGGAATGAATTTGCAAAGGCCATGATTTTAACAAACTCTTGTATATTAAAGGCGATTTTTCATAAATTAATTTCTTTTTTTTCTTCTTCTCTTTTCTCCTAAATGTTTTATAACATTCTCACAATTACATTGAGACAAGCAAATAATAAATATTCGTCTCACAATGACAATTATGGCTTACGAATTTACTTTTTCTTTATACAATTTATTTAATAATATCTTGAAATATCTTAGAAAAAAAAATATTTTCTGTTATTAGTATTCATGACATAAGCTTTTTTTCCAATTCTAAATGTATAATAATTCATATGGTACTTTTCACACTACAACCATTAATTATGCTTATCGCATACAAATACGATTCTGAAAAAGAAAAAAAAAATACTATACGTGAAACTAAAATTGAACTAAATTATATTAAATTTTACTAAAATTCCTACCTCAATTTCCTACCTCTGCATCTTGTTCATTTAAAAAAACCACAGATTTATTATGACATTTTAATTGAAAATTTAATCAAATACACTCTAATTAGTATATTTTTATCTTGAATAAATCCTCGCCCATACACGGTTTAAGATATCTGAAAAAGGCCAATAAAATAATCGACATAAAAATATTAGCGAAAAAGAGCGTCCGACGAAAGGAAATGCGATGGAACACTAAACGTTAATCAGACTATCAATCATATTTTTACCGTTTATATTGGCCACGTAACGATATTCAAATTTCGAACGTCTTTTCTCATCGAGATTTTATTTAATATGCAAAGTCCATGTTAATTTTCACGCTGCTTTATATGTTTATAATTTTATTCAATAAATTAAATAATGACTCTATTTGCCGGATGAATCGCTGATGAAATGACGAGTACCTCTACTTGCTTTTCGAAACAATTTGATACGAACGATTCAATGATATATATATTTTGAATTGCTCGAGGTGACAAATGATTTATTACTCAACGAAGGCAGGATGGCATTAATTCTCCCCCCCCTCTCTCTCTCTCTCTCTCTCTCTCTCTCTCTCTCTCTTTTATGAAGAAAGAAAGTAAAAACGCTTAGCCATTTGCTATGAAACTTTACATTCTTACCTTCCCAATATTAACTTTACGGTTGATACTTCATTAAAGAGTCTTCTCTACTAGTTGAGAAATTGATTCGTAATAAAAACAAAATTGACAGTTATTGGGCAAGCTATTTTTAATATAAATTTTTTTTTTTATTAAGTTGTGATTGTATAGCGAACATTTTATATCGTGTCAATACATGTTGTAAAGATAAACTAAAGTTTATTTTTAAACGTATTGAATATTTGAAGAACTGTTTACTGGAATCAATTACATAAAGAATCCGGTATAAAGTCACGTAAAATACTTCTATGTATTTACTTTGCATATTTTTATATATATTTTTATAAAATGCTTATTTACTCATTTGTATTTGTAATTCTTTTAGCGACATTATTTTATTTATTACAAAATTATGAAGAAAAACGAAACATTAAATATGTTATACGAGCGTTAAAAGCGAAACATTCTTAATATTAAACATAACATACACTTGAATTTGAGAATATTATAATGAATGTTATAATCATCTGATTGGATTTCATTGCAATGAAATAATTGTAAATCTATTATGCATATATATGATTATTTTTAAAAAATTTAATCTATATATATAGCAGCCATGCAGTATTTCTCAGTATTATACTATAAAGTACGAAACCAATAAATTTTCTAATATTTTTCATTGCACATGCATGTCAATGGATTGTTTAAGTGCTTATGTAACTTTTACATTTTTCATTTAAATTTTGTCTATTTTATCGTGTTCATTTCAAGTTGATTTAATTAATAATTTGAGATATATAAAACTTAATTATTTTATAAATATGCTTGATATTAATTATTCGGATTTTTTTTTTAATGAAAAATGCTATTCTCAGTTCATAAAAATTTTCTTATGTTTTTCGTTTATAAAAATATTGTATTTTCAATATATTTACAAATATAATTGGATTGTCGGTAGAATATTTCATTGCGTGTAAAAGTTATTAAAGTTATAAAATTTGCAATTAATAAATCGATGTTTATAAACAAGAATAAAGCATCATAAGAATGTAAAGAAATTAAATTACGCCTAATTCAACAACAGTCATTTTTCAAATGAACTGCAATTGTGCGTTATGTAGACAAATAATTGATGAATAAATAAATAAAAATAACTTAGCATAAGATCCGTTATAAACTACAACATCATTTATATATATATATATATATATATATATATTATCTCTCAATGTATACTTTGAAGATAATAATAACGAAATAGCTGCTTACAGCGATCTATTTCAATATGAAAAGATAAATTATCTTATCGGTTTGGCTTTTAGCACGTTTCGACAGTGTGATAGATAGAGAATTACGAAAATTAAATATTTATAACAATACTTATGTATGTGATTTTCTTAACTAATTTACCACTCTCCTCCAACTTTCAGCGTACATGCATGAAGCTACACGAATGATAATAAAAATATCTTTCGTATTACAATTTTATTCATTCAAGCAATATCCTTGTTTATGTGTAGCTGTGCGTATCGCATTGGGGGAAAAGGAAATGATTAATTAATGAAAATAAGCATGAAACATATTTTTTAAGATGATATTCGTATAAATTATCTCTTTTGTAATATTTTCTGTATTATCATTTGTGTGCCATTTTTATTTAAATTTCATTTTAACACCACTTTGCCAATAATATAAATTTAATTCCAATAACATAATGCCATACAAAATGAAATGAAAATTACGTATGATTTAATTCATATTTTAAAAATAAATTATTTATGATTAAACAACATCTGCTTAAATATTGTGTATTTTAATAGAAATAATTATAGTTATAAATTTTAAAGTTTCTATTTCTTAAATTTAACGTGTAGCAGCAGTAAAGAACTTTTTTTTTTAATTTTGATAAATTTTTGTTTTGAAACCATTTTGTTGTATTTTTGTTTATGTATGAAAATAATGTACATTCAACTAGATTATTGTAAATTTTGCCTTATTTAAAATATATTTATATTAGTTTAGACATAAGATGTTTTTCTTTTTAAAATAATAATAATACATATTACCAAAAACCACGTGTCATTAATAAAATACTTGAATAAAAAAAATTGTGTTTCGAATAACAATTTGTAATATAGAATATAGATATGTAATTTTTTGTAAAAATATTTATAAAATATTTATTCCAAACTCATTGTATAAGCAAACGATATCATAAAAAAGCTTATTTTCTCAAAACTTAAATATACTTAAATATGTGTGTAATTGCAAAAAAAAAAAAAAGATATATTTTATCGTCATCATCATCATCATCATCATCATCATCATTATCTGTATATATTTCATTATTGTCAATGTCGTGGTAACTAAACATTTAAAATAAACAGAGTTCCAAGTCATCGATGAATGCGTAACTCCCTCTCTTTTATTTTATAAAAAAAGAGGAACTCAGTGATGTCATCGGGGTAAACGTCATTTCAGGTGCGCTTGACGCAATATCCTCGAGGATGTCGAAGCCGGTGGATGCCGGATCATCGAGATCCGAGCCTGGAGCGAGCCGACACGGCAACTTCATCGACTACTATCGCTTCCATCCGGCGGAGGAGCGCATGCGCCAAATTCCGGAAGCGATCTACGAGTCGGCGGGACCCTCCCCGATGTTCGTCGCCTTGGACATTGGCTGTAATACTGGGGTGAGAACCGTCTCTTATTTCAACATTTTTAAGAGCTGAGAATAACGAAATGCCGGCATTGGAATCCACTTGAAATCGATTGCCTCAATGAATGCTGCTGACTCATTTTTGTCTGGATTACTCACTATTCCTTATTAAACTTTTTAAAAGCTTTGCGTTATTCAAATTTTTTTAGACATATAAGCTGAAACTATTTACATTTAATAATGCACAATGAATATGTATATTACTTCAGGATGTCGATCGTAATGCTTGAATTGGTCAATTGTCATTAATTACTGTACGTTTAAATTTTAGGGCCCCGTGTCAAAATTATTATTTTTGAGGCATAAATTTCGACTTATCACATTGTAAATTACGACTACAATTATTTTAATATTATACTCAAATTAAAATCGTTCGTTTATTGCAGCAAATTTTTTATTGATCGCATCCTAATGAATGAGTCATTCAAGGCGCATCATTTAACAATTGCCTTGTCATTTACACCCACTATACAAGTGTGTAATGACACAGAGTACATAAAAGATTATATATTTAGGAACAAAATCGTAAATAGAGTCTCGATCGATACGTAGGTTAAAAATATCTATCCAAAATTACTGGAAGACGGCTATAATAAATCCTTTTGACGTCTGCTTAATTTTAGGATTAACTATAGATGCTGATTTACGAAAGGGATTTTCAACAAAACGGCACGATTAATATAAAAACACTTTACCTCCTTCATTTCCTTAAGCTTTTCTTCAGTTTATCCAGGTTAATTGTGTTTAAATGAAATTAACGTATTGATTTAATATATAGTAATAGTCGTGTAATAAGAAAAAAACATTAATTCATATTACACACACTGTAATGTAGAAAATCTTATAATATTGAGAAAAGAAAAAAGAATAAAAACAAAAAAACTAAAGACCAGAAAACTAGTCTTTCATTGAATTTTATCGTATTACTTTTTGTTTTGCATTAGAAATTGAATGTTTCTCCTTTCTTTCTTTTTTTTTTTATTTAATATTAATATTTTAATACTATCATTTTCCTCGCATTTATTTCATTATAAATTAATTATTACTGATCATAATAATATCCTTATTTTGTAATGAATTTTCTATAATTTAATAGTAATTGCACCAATATAATAGCACATAACGATTATAACAAATATGTCAAATTAATAAGTTTAAATTACTAATTAAGAGTTAAACTCTAATAGTAGATACCATTAAATAGTTATTAAATAAATCACTTTATGCAAATTATTTTACCTAATTCGTAAATAATGCTTTCTATGATATAGTTATTAATAATATTAGCTACCTACATAATTACAATCAAAGTTTACTTGCATGAGTTGCACAAACTATATTTTTTTTTTATTATTATTTTTTTTTTAATATTTTAGTTTTTTCTTTACTTGTTCTATTGCTTATTTGTTTAATGTAATATAATTACAAATTATTATATAATTTCATTTGATTGAGCTAATTGAGCGAATTTTTAAAAATATTTTAAAAGAAAATTAGATTGAATTGAATTAGCAGACAATATCTTAATATTCAATTTTAAAATACTTGTTATATAAGAATTTATTTTTATTCTAAAGATTTTAATTTATCTTTATTATGAAATAAATAATACTCTTGACAGATTAAAACGAAAATTTTAGTGTGTAAAATATTAGTGAAATAAGATATGAAATGATAAAAATTATTTGAAGTTTTAAGTAAGAAATTTATTTAAATAAAGAGTACATTACACTTCAAAGAAAATTAGGCAAGAAACTGTCGTTTTTTTTTTTTCATAACTTAATCTTTGAATTATAGATTATAGTTCTTTATTCTTAATTTATCAATACTTGATGAGAATGATGTTCTTTCCTATAATACTTATATTATGAATTTAATATTAACGTGTTTCGACGAGTCCCATGACTTATAACTTTCGCGATTTACAGTTTCTTTATTTTTGTCCCACTATATTGACTGTAGCAGCAACACTACTACTACTACTAGTAGTAGTAGTAGTAGTAATAGTAGTAGTGGTACTAGCAGCAGCAGTAGTAGCAACAGCAGTAGCAGCAGCAACAGCGTTGATTTGTAAACCGTCTGGCCATCTAAAGAGAGAGAGAGAGAGAGAGAGAGAGAGAGAGAGAGAGAGAGAGAGAGAAGAAAAGAGAAGGCTCTAATTACGGAATGAGCGAAAATAGAAAAGTGGAATGTGGATCGTCTACTTCCGGCTTCTTCGAAACACTCGCAATAATGAAGGCAAGAGAAGAGCCGCCGGAGAAATTTACGAGTCGATTTCAGTTTTAATATTTTATTCAATTTTAATATTTTATTTTGTCACTTCTGTCCACGGTAAAGCATAACAATGAAAGAATGATGCGCATTTTTTCCATATTAATTGCGAGAATAAATCAACAATGGATTGTATTTTTTGAGAAAAGCTTTATAAGTATTATTGTATAGTCCTTAACTGTTATAGGGGGTTACGTACTTAACTAATTCGGGTAAATAATCGAGGAAATATCATTCTTCTTTAAAACCTTTTTGATAAATGTATTTCGAATATTATTGTTTCAGATTAATAACCATATTTAACAAATGCTTAATGAAATAGTTTAATCCACAGCAATTTTTGGATAATTATAAATTTTAAATTCATTATCGGCAAATAGATTTCAATGAAAATATATATTTTAATTTGAAATCAAATAATAGTTAAATAAATACTTTGATAAAATAGTAAAATAATATTCATTAAATTATCGTAGGTCTTTTCTCTGCTTTAATACACAGAATCGAGGACAATTTTATTATTTTATTTTTAAGGTCATAATATTATTTTTGTAATTTATAAATTTGCTAATTTGTATAGTACAATTTTGAGTATAATTTTTTGTCGCTGAAAAAATAATAATGATAACTTGGAATATATGTTCGCATGATATTATATTGATGAAAGCAATGCAAGTAATTACGTATTATAATTAATAACAATTAGTATTGTTGTATAGGTAAGCAAAGGTGTTAGGTATAAAATCTTTTTCGACAATTCAAAATGGAATATTTCAGCTTCGACATTCAATGTTTGCTCATAATGAATAAATTTATCAATTTAGCTATATTCTATCATGATCTATTTTTTATGTATCTAAGTGACATCACATGATGTGCACGTGGGCGATAGGTTTGGCCATTTATTACGGAAGATTAGATCGAATGGTAAAAAGCAAATTTCAGTTTGCCATGTTCGAGCGTAAAATAAAATCATTATAAATATAATTATTGCCATTAAATGAGGACCTTCCAATAAATACGGCAATAAATAATAATATTTCGAGAAAAAAAATTTTCCTATAAAAATCCCGACAATATTGATATCAACATTTACTTTTAATTAGATAGAAATATTCAACTTTATCGAGATTTTACTTTATTAATGTTTCATTTCAGGATCTAACGCTCGAACTCTACAAATTCTTGAGCAAAAATCTTCCGGAGCGAAAAATTTCAATTATTGGAATTGATCTCGATCCAGTTCTAATCGAACGGGCACAGGAAAAAAATGATCAATTTGAATCGGTGACTTTTGTTTGCATTGATTTCTTCTCCAATGATCGTGAAAATGTTCTATCATCTTATTTGAGCGAACGTCATAAGGTTAGAAAACTATCTTTTGCACTATTATAATTCTGAAATATTTATTATTACAAAGTTAATCATTGAAAGAGCATGTAAATTTGAAACATTTACATTGTGCTATTTGTCATTTAAAGACTTTTGTTTAATGTTGAACAGCATTAACTATGATTAAAAGCTCGACACTTATAAAATGAAACTTGTAAAATAATTACATATAATTAAATTTGAAGAGAGTCGTGATAATTATTGCTGAAATGTCTTCTTACCACTATTGAATCCGACATAAAGAGAGACGGAGAGAGAGAGAGAGAGAGAGAGAGAGAGAGAGAGAGAGAGAGAGAGAGAGAGACGGAGAGAAATAAAACTAAATGTCAACAGCTTTTATGATTGAATATCGAGTTAGCCTTTAATTATAAAAACTTTTGTTAAAGTCAGTAAAATGAACAAAATAAAAAAAAAATTAATTTAAATTAAATTAAATAATAAAGCGACGAGCATATTTTATTTCAGGATAAATTGTTATTTATTACTATCAACTTACCATCAACAATGGGGAGATTAATCATGAATTCCTCGTTTCAACGGTCTAAAGACTTTTGTGATCTTACAGAAACGCTTTGACGCCAGCTTTTGCTTCTCGATAACGATGTGGATCCACCTGAACAAGGGTGACGCGGGCTTGGAGCTCTTCCTTCGGGACGTCTGCTCCTGCAGCGAGGTAGTGCTGGTCGAGCCGCAGCCTTGGCGTTGCTATCGAAGCGCCGCGCGCCGCTTGAGACGAGCCAACCTCGGGGACTTCCCCCTCCTGGAAGGCCTTGAGTATCGGGACGAGGTGCAACGGCACATTGAAAAGATCCTGAGGGATCAGTGCAAGTTCCGAAGGCTTCACGTGTCCGAGAAGAACGAATGGCAAAGAAGGTTGATACTGTACAAGAGATGCCACGATGAACGGACGCACGAAGACTCGGCGTGACGTAATTTTCCGACACTGGAGACTCTCGGTGCAGAAGCATCTTTCATTGAATTTTTTTGGCTTACGTAGGTTCGTCGAATAAGGCGAATAAATATCTTCCCGACTCGATGACACCTGTAAACAAGATCACTTTCCACAATATTCATCCGTGATCACTTCATCCGTGATAAGGAAACGTGGTACTTTGTTATGATTTTAATAGTCCTCTTGCTCAATGAGATATTCGTGCTCGCTGTGGCAATCTATTACTTGAAGGTAAAAAAAGGAAAACAGTAGAAGAAGACAAGACGAATAACGTGGAGTATATATTAGTTTACCCAGTTTCGTAATGAGATGAAATTGACATAAAATATAAAACATTTTTGAAAATTTTTGAAATCAATGACGAATGAAACTTTTAATTTTATCTTAACTTAGATAATAATAATTTTTTATTATTTCAGCTAATGAAAATGATTCGAAATGTCATATTACTGAAAAATTATGCCGAGTCATCCGTTTGAAAAGCGAAAAGACGAAAAAAAAAAGATGCGTTGATACATGTGTATGGAAGTATTTACCAGATTATTACTGATATGAATTTTGGTTCTAAAATCTAAATTCTAAATTATTGTATGTTGAAAACTATTACAATAAATATAAATACATATGCATATTTTTTATAGATGACTTCTCCTTTTATTGATTATCGTAATAGAATAGAAAAGATTTAGATAAATAAACATATAAATAGAAAAGTGGAGAGAGAGAGAGAGAGAGAGAGAGAGAGAGAGAGAGAGAGAGAGAGAGAGATGGAGGGGGAGGGGGTAAATTTCTTGGATTAAAAATGTAAAGTAATAGAAAATATATTTGATACATAGCATTAGCCTATAAAACTGACAAGTAAACAAATCTAATGGATCAGTAAAAAATCTTATAAATTGTATGAATTATTCAAATTAAACATTCGCTTTTTTCAAATACCATGTATTTTTATTTTGCAAAATATTAAAAACGGTATAATATTGAATTAGAAATTTAAAAAGATATATTATCATGATGGAAAAGGGCAAAATGAATTTAATCATTTATGCCTATAATAGTTGTATTAAAACATTTTCCAAGAAATTTTTTTCTCGATTAAAGAGACTACTTTTTTACCATTAAAAATCATGTATGTAATCCAATTAATTAATGCATGTTCTTAACCGTCGAAGGCAGATAAATATTTGATTATAACATATTATAGTCTACGCAAATTTGTATTGTCTTTAAAAAATAAACTAAATCAGTAGTACAATTACTTCATAATTGGTCGATAAATCAAATGTTTGCAGTTTGAAAAAAATTTCTATACATACGACATTCTTATAGTAATTGTAATTGAATTTTATAAAAAGCTATTAGTTAAGACGTTACACGTCACTTTATCCTATAGACGTAACGTTCGTGTGCATGTGTGGTAATTAAACGACAGGATGCCTACAATTAGATTGCGTATGGAATTGCAAATTCTGCTCATCGGCCAACTATGGCACACTTCGAGATGGCAGCACCTACCGAAATTCGCCAATTCGACTTGGAATTCGATTTCGAATCTCAATCCGCCAACACGACACGCGCGATTCGGCTCCCAATTTCACACGAAGAGATTGCGAACTATTTGAAATTAAATGTAACAAACGGGCATTCTCTTGTAAATTAATATTTAACGATAATAATAATAATTATTATTATTATTAATTAACGATAATAATAATAATAATAATAACAATAATAATAATAAAAATAAAGAAAACAGCCCCCCGCCCCGCCCCGCCCCGTGACACTGCAGATGGGCAAAAATCTTGTAAAGTTTGATGACAATATTTTATAAGAATATTCCATTATACGCCGTCGTTAACGTTTGAACGAATCGAATGCAAATGTCCATACGATTGCTAACGATTTATGTTGCTACATAAATATTAACACTGCTGTCGAATCACTAAATGCTTATTCGTAAAAGCTGCACCGCCGGCGCCAAAGTAAGGATAACTTATATGAATGCTCAATTAAGTCGGCAAATTGCACATTGCTCGCGCACCGGGAAATTTAATGAACATTATTTTTGCCAATTTCTTCTTTTGGCTCGTAATGCGCGCAAACACATCGACCAAAGTCTTGGGCCGCTTTTCTGTCCCCCGAGCCTCTGGGACCCGAGTTTTTTTTCATTTCTTTTATCTTTATTTTTTTTTTTCTACGTCCATTATTTTCCAGCGAACCCCGAGGGACGTACGCAAGCGCCGCATGGCTGATATACTCAAGCACTCGCCTCTCGGCTAAACGTAATATCATAATTTCCAGTCGCTAGTGCATCATAAAGGAAGTATACGACCACGGGAGGAGAATCACTAGGTCGTTAATCACTGCAATCAATGTAACCGCCGCAAACAACGCCTATCGTAATTAATCGAGAAAATATATTCCTTCATCCCTGCCCATTTTGTAAACGACGTACGTGAAAATAAGCACAGCGCTGCGTTCGACCAATGAAAAAGTTTGCACGGTAGGGCTGAGTAGGAAAGTGGGGGAGAGCTCGACACTAATCGTGAGACGTTGTCATGAACTCCGCAAGCAAGGTAAGCCGAAAAATATAAGTTGAGACGCTTTTCCCGCCAAGTATCGCGAGAAACTATCAAACGTTTGCCATATCCTTGCCCCCTCCGTCGCTCATTACCCGGCATCTGTGAATTTTCCAAATATATGTCATTCGGAATTGAATCCTCAGCTTGTTTGCTTTAATAGTCATCGAGAAGCCAAAAAAAAAAAAAAAAAAAACACAAAAAAAACATTTGATCTTCTATACTTTAGTACGATATATATATATATATATATATATATTATATATATATCGCACCATGGAGTTAAACAGCGGCAGAAAGGTTATGTTTTGCTTTTGTTTTTATTTAAGTTTTTATCTCGAGGGCATTGCTATGGGGGTTTCTATTTTTTTCTTTTCTTTGTTTTTTTTTTTTTTTTTATAAATCAAGACTTTATATCGTACTTATTATTACTAAACGCTTATCCGAAATAATGCATTCACGCGTGCTCAAGTTTGTGTTGGTTTTTTTTTATTTTGAAAATTTTCAGGTTATGTTGCTCGGCTTACGTTAATATCGTTGAAGCATTTTGCATTAGTTGTCTATAGTGTGCCTCGTAATGTGATTAATTGTTAATTGTTAATTGATTATTAAGGAGGAACGGCTCGTAATTTTACATTGTTATATGTACGAATCGCTGTGTTTTGTTATATCACCAATGTCTTTGACAACCGAAACAAGCGAAGAGTGCACATATTTTAATGTGACGATTGAAAAACAAATGTATCATATTGTTCGATAGGTTGGTGAAATTTTCACCGCTGCTGGGGCAGCATTTACGAAATTGGGCGACTTGACCATGGAATTACATCCGACGACCGACTCTCCAACTGGGTAATCAACTCAACTTATACATTTAGCTGCTTGTCTGTTTCACTTATTAAATACTCGTTTCTCTGAATAATAATCATAATTATTTCAATTACTTTCTAATCGATTTATTTAGCCATTTGTAGCATTATTTATAATTTATAATTTTTTTGTGTGCATTTTATAATGTTAATCCATTGATGCTTACGCTTGCAACTGCAGTAAGTGGACTGACGAGGAAATTGAGATGCTCCGTCACTCGGTTAAGACCTTCAGCGAAGACTTAAACAAAATTAGCGATCACATCAAAGGGAGGACCGTGTAAGTTCGTTGTAAAGCTCATTTGGCTCCGAGAAAACGGTCGTCGCTCGATTCCTCAGTCAGAAGGTGGTTTTTTTTGACGACAATCGTTGCTTTCCTTTTAGATCACAGATTCGATCGACCCTTAAGAAAAAGGCTTTCGAAGAAGCCGGCGTACCCATTAGACAGCAGCAAATTATTGCGCAACAGCAAAGTACGCAACAATCGAATGTCCAGCAAGTACAAACGCAAAAGCAGACAGTTAGTAATCCTGGACTTATGAGCAAGTCGGCCGAAGTAACATTAAATATGCTAAATGCTCCTGAATCCGAAGTAGATGTCGAAGGCTTACCGGAAGAGTGCCAGGTTAAATTGGAGTTTGACGGTGCGACGGAAGAGGTTACGTCGTAACATTTACATCTATTCTGAGATGTTGTAAACATTCTTTTAAATTTTGCTTATTAGTATATATTCGACACAATTACTTTTGTAAAAAGTCCATGCAACGGTTAGAACTATTTTCAATTTAGACTCGTAGTACATCTTTCAAAAATAAGAAAATTTAGTAAAAAAACATTTTAGGAATGTCAGTTTTACGTTTACTATTTATGTATTTACCATAGTATCTGCAATTATAATTAATAAGATAGAGAAATAAGTTTTTTAAGTGTAAAAATTTAAATATATCGTGTTAGTTGGTTTATGTAACTATTACAAATTCTTTTATGAACGACAGCATCGAAGTGCAAAGTTTTAAATATACCGATTAATCATAACAGCGATCTTGAAATTCATTAAAATAAGGTTTTGTACTTGTAGATTTGGAAAGTTCCTAGATTAAGACAAATGACTTGTATTTACAATAAAAATTTGTTATACAATGATAGTAATGACAAATAAGATATTCTGCAGCGTTTTATTTCACAATATTCCCATTCGTATGAAAACTTATTATGTGCCAATGATTTTACATCTTGGCATTTACTTTTATTTATTTTTAAAGTAATAATTACAAGGATGTTTGGATGGATTTTGAATATTTAAATTTGAATATTTTTAATTCTTTACCGTAAAAAGATTCGAAGGTGCATGTAAACAAACATTTTATACGTGTACTTTTCAACGTTCTATGGGTAATTAAAATTATAGGAGAAATTGTGTATTAAACGTTAAATTCGAAAAGGTTCGCAAGCATCCAACAACGAACATTTACCAACGAATTTATCTTTGACGGATCAATGTATGTGCGTCGAATAATGAGAAAAAAGAAAGAAAAAAAGACACCCTCCTTACCATTAATTGTTAATAAGCGATTATTTAATAATATTAGGATTTTAAAAATATTTACTAATAACTTCAACGATTAATTCGAGACACGTAATATCTTATATAAGATATGTTTACAGACTTATAAAACTCGGATTACTTTGTAAAACGCATGAATTTTCTATTACTTTCTATTTGTACAAACGCACATTATATTATTAAAAAAAAAAATAAAATATTAAGAATATTTATAATTCCATGCTGGAACTTAGTGGAAGTATTTCCCGTGGCAACATTTCACGGTAATCAAATATGACAAAGATTTTTTAAAAACACAAACAAATAATAATTTATTCATATTCAGAGGACGAAACATTACTCCCTAAACGTGCAATTAAAGAACTTAATAACATTTGCTTTCATTCAATTATTGCTTATTTAAATGTCCCTTAAGCGCTGGCTAATCGAGTAAAAAAATTCAACGGCTTTTTATTAAAATATAATAAATTCGAATACGAGCTTATTATTAGTCGCAGTAAAGGGGAATCGTTAATTGTAAAAACTGAAGGAATAAGGGTGTGAATTTGTAATGGGCCCTGCTGAAAAATAAATTAACATTTTCTTCCGTTTGCGCGGAGATAAAAGGAAGAAAAATAGGATTGATGGGAGGGAATTTTCAATATCGTAGCGAAAGTGGGGGACACTTAGCAGAACCTTACATACTGGCTCCACCCATAGACGCTATTGACTCATACTCGGTGCTACTCGATAATAAATGTTAAAATCCATCTAGGGGCAATAACATCTCGGTGTGTGCGTATAAAATACTTTTTCCGACGCGTCGAGATCGATCGCAATATTTATTACGCAGCGCTGCACTTGATATTTCACACGCAGAGTGTTGCTGTTGCTGTTGCTGTTGCTGTTGCTGTTGCTGTTGCTGTTGCTGTTGCTGTTGCTGTTGCTGCTGCTGCTGCTGCTGCTGTTACTGTTGTTTCGATTTTCCAAATGCTCGCTCTCTACGACGTATTGTTTACCAGTGTGTAGTGCCGTGTTATTTATCGACAGACGACAATGACTGTTTCTTGGTCTCTGTATTTCTACAAAATTTTTATTTACACTTTTAATAGGAGCTCGAGTGAAAACGGGAAATCACGATTTGTCAACAGATATGAATATCTTTGGTGATTGTTTAGCTAGAGAGTTGGATTTGGTAAATTGAAAGGGAAAGGATCCGTGGCGAGGACGTAATATCATACAAACAGTTTAAAAACAGCAGGACATATGGAAGGCGGTATTATGGATGGTCCTGAAGTGACTCTTAGCAGGTCCGAGGATGATCCTTCGCTTCAAGGATGCTTCAGTCCAAAAAGAGCTCCGTTCAGATTTCTGGGACTGGCTCTTATGTGTTTCATGGGATTTGGTAAATAAACTGGACAAAGACAGTGTCGTTTAGAGTGTCGATTTTTATTTTCCAATTTATGACTTGTAATATTTATGGAGTATGTAATTCCATATGGAGTGCTTATAATGTAAATTTGTCAAAGCTTTATTATTCTTTCTCCAACATTGCAGACTTACATTATAATTAAATATTCCCAATGTGTTCTTTTTTTTTTTTTTTTTTTTTTTTTTTTTTTTTTTTTTTTTTTTTTTTTTAATGTTATTTTTTCTTTTTTTCTTTTAATTGGTCATTAAATTGAATTCAAATGTTATTGATATTTATCTAATGACAAAGATGGTTGGTTTTACAAGACTTAGAACATAACCAATGTATCCCATTTCATGATTAAGAATGACTAATGACATTATTTTATCTGGAATTCGCATTGTTTGGTTTTAAATTTTTTTATGTCGTCGATAATAAATAGCTGAACAAGCCACAAACAAGCCATTATTTCTTAGGGAAAACTTTCATGCTTAATAATTTTTCTTAAAAACAAAAAATCAGAGATTATGATTCTCAGTAACGTTAATTGTTAATATTTTTTTTTGCTTAAAAAATGATATATATGTTTTATCAAGAATAGTAATAGAATATTAAAAGGATATTTTTGCAATTGAAGTTATACTGGTAAATTATTAATGTATAGAGCGTATTAAAAATTACACGGTTTGTATAGTGGGAAATTATTTTTAAACGATTAATCAGCGTTTACGCATTATAATCGACATTTTAATAGCATAGAATTTGTTAAATTAAGTATGCAACTATGTATTCATATCCATAATTAATATTACCATTGTAAATTTTAGGTTCATACTTTTGTTACGACAATCCTGGAGCACTACAAGATAATTTTAAAAATGACTTAAATATGTCAACTAAAAAATTTGTTTTACTATACTCGATTTATTCGTGGCCCAATGTAATTTTATGTTTTATCGGAGGCTTTCTCCTCGACAGCTTATTTGGAATAAGATGGGGAACTATCATATATATGTCCCTGACATTGTTTGGGCAACTAATTTTTGCTATAGGTGGTTACACAAATGTATTTTGGTTAATGATGCTAGGAAGATTTATATTTGGGTACGTATAATGGAAGATACTCAAATTTGCATAAATTTTGGTTTTTCTTACAAAGTACTAAGAACTCTTTAAATTTTTGTATACTTTATAATAACATTCGAGCTGTAATAATACAAAAAAAAAAAAAAAAAAAAAAAAAAAAAAAAAAACCCACTAATAAGTATTTAGTTTAATTAATGTCCATATGTTTTGTTTATAATATTAATTGTTTCTTATTAGAATCGGAGCGGAATCGTTGGCTGTAGCTCAGAACAGCTACGCCGTACTGTGGTTCAAAGGCAAAGAACTAAATATGGTGTTTGGACTTCAATTGAGTTTTGCCAGAGTAGGCTCGACAGTCAATTTCCTAGTAATGGAGGATATATACAATTACGTATCAAAAACTTTAGGTTACCTTGGAGCAGAATGTATTGGAACGGTGTTGTTTCTCGCAACCCTCACTTGCGTCGCTTCCATGATTTGTACCCTTGTTTTGGGCTGTATGGATAGTCACGCAGAAAAAGTATTAAGACGAAACGAAGGCGAAGAGCCCACGATTGTTCGATTGACGGATGTCAAAGATTTTAAAAATATATTTTGGCTGGTCACTTGGATCTGCGTCTCTTATTACATAGCGATATTCCCGTTTGTCTCATTAGGAAAGTTAGTAATTAATCTTGATTTTTAAAATCATCTGCATTTATATCAACTTCTAAAGTACTTAACATTTTTCAGAGTTTATTTCATACGTAAATATGAATTTGAGCCAGCGGTCGCTAATACAGTGAATTCAATGGTCTACAGTATTTCTGCCATCGCATCCCCCCTCTTTGGTATTTTAGTTGATAAATCTGGAAAAAATATCCTCTGGCTCGTTTTAAGTATTATTGGTTCATTAGTTGCACATGGACTGCTTGCATTTACCTACGTTAGTCCATACGTGTGTATGATTCTTTTGGGACTATCGTATTCGATGCTCGCAAGTAGCCTTTGGCCATTGATTGCTTTAATTATTCCTGAACATCAGTTGGGGACCGCTTATGGCATGTAAGTTAATTAAGAATTGATTTCATTTAAATACAACTTATTAATAAAAAGATACAACTTTTAACATTGATATTCTTGGTATATTAAAGTCCATCATAGCCTTACTTATCTTTGATCGTACTTCTTTTTATAATTATCATTGTGATATGTTTAATACTTTATATATTATTGTTAATTTCAATAGTTCTTAATAATTAGGGCATTCTCTTGCATAAAAATTGTCATAAAAAAAAAAAATAATAATAATAAATATATATATATGTGCGCGCGCGTGTGTGTGTATATGTATGAATTCCATTTTCTTTCAATTCATAGTGCTCAAGCACTTCAGAATTTAGGTCTAGCAATAACATCTATAGTTTGTGGAATTATTGTTGATAATCACGGTTACTTTATGCTCGAAATGTTCTTCTTTACATGGCTCTGGAGTAAGTATTGCAAAGCATTTAAAAATATTCTTTAACGATTTAATCTACGAAATGTAAGAAATTAAATAATAAAATTACCATATTCTCAGTCTCGCTGATCACTGCCATCATTATCTGGATATCAGATTCAAACTCCACCGGCGGTTATCTAAACATGTCTCCTAAGCAACGCGAGCTATACGAAAAGAATCCATGTTTACCACAGATAATGGAAAGAGAGAAATTATTATCAGGGGATGGTTCGACTTCAGATTTATCTGGAGATGATTTGCTACAACCCCAGTCAGATACGCGAATGAGAAATCGCTATCTAACACGAATTGGTGCCGAGGTAACGGACGATGACTTACAAGCGTGACAATCATATCAATTTAGATTGTAAAATTCCTAATTGGAAATCTGAAATGTTTCAGACTCCAGTTCACATAAAAGGTACTACTTATCGTGCATTGCGATGATAAATTGTACTTTCTTTCTTTTTCTTTTTTTTTATATATATATAAACTAACAATGAATGATAGAAGGAAATCCTATGAATGTAGATGCAAGATCTCTGTTTTATTATAGACTTATATATTTGCAATGTGCGTAAATGATTGTCATTACTAATTAATTAATTAATATAAATGTGCCGTTCGTTCCAGCATTTATTATTTATGATAATTGGCTATTACGAATGTCTCGAATTTTTAAAAAGTTATATATTAAGTTTCAATCTTAACTCCACTATATTATCGAGTAGTATCGACCTTTTTCTATTAAAAGCATTGAATTTATTGTATATTTAAGCAGGTTACTATTAGTCTCGAGCATCGTGCAAAAATATAATTACTAATAAATAAGATGTCTATGGATGATCCACGTTAAAGATATATATATATATATTTAAAATTAGAATTCGCTCACTGTGTCTTCCCATTGTACAGCATATGTCTGTGATGTATTAGTATTATGCTAAAGATGAAACGAGAGAATGAGTTTTAGCGACAATGGTGCTGTTTGCCAAAAATGAAATGAAAAGAATTCACAATTATATTAAATCAAGTTCTCTACTAAAATGTGGGTCCACAAAGACGATTTATGTTTTATATTTTATACATTTAATGATGCGAAGAATCTCTTATGTATATATTACGATAATTGTGTTAGTAAAAATATTTATAATGATCTGCCTAAATACGTTAATATAATTTTAATCATGTGAAGTGTATTTTGTAAATTAAGCATGCTCAAATGATGTTATATGTAAGAAAGAAAGAAAGAAACTTTTTATTGAAAGATACAAATAATAATATCACAGAATGAAAACAATAATAATTAGTCAAATTTAAGATAATAGATAGACAATTGTATTACATATTGGTGGCTAAAATTTATATCGCATTAAATAAATGTTATTCCATTGTTTATTTACTAATTTTCTTACATTATTTATTACTTTCATTTTAATAAAATTTTTTTGATAATTTTTTTATACAAATTATAATTTATAAATTTATTTAAGGTTCTCGAGCAATTGACGATAGCATTTTATTTTAAAGACATTATAAAACCGTTTTTTTTTTTTTTATATATTATGCGAAAAAGTTTATGTAACATGAAGTTTTTTTAAATAAATTTTTATTTCCTTAATGCAGTCTAAATATTTTATTACACTTTATTTTCATTTATATATTCATATTTTCTTTACATATTAATAAAAAATAAAAATAAAAAAATATATATATATATGTATATTTATGTTATAATTTGTATTGATGTAACTCATTTGTTTTGTTTTATTTTACTCAATAATATCATAAAATGTTTCTCTATTAATTAATATTATACATAAATAATTGTTTTAATTGTCATTAAAATTATAATTTTAATTAAAATTCTCGTTAAAGTTTTAATCTTCATTAAAACAACTCGTTTTAAAAATTTTAAGTATCCTAATTACGTTATGCGCGTGCACGCATCTATACTAATTTAAATATTATTCACAACTCATTGATAATTATTATACGAGAAAAGGCGTATGAAATTAGTATAATTTGATCAATTTTCAAAATATTAACTTATTGCTTATGTTTATTTTTTCATTCCTTATTAAATATTTTTCATTTTTAATAGAACAGTTTATAGGAATAAAGTAATGATAATTTATATTTATTTGACCTTCATGTTTATGCGACTAATAAACTAAGATTCGAGTTTGTAATTCATTTTGTCTATAAAAAGTAAATTATATAATTCAATGTTTAATACAACAAAGGTAAATAATATTTATATTACAATGAAATGATAATTATTTTGCATTAATTAAAATACCAAGAACAAATTTACGTACAAGAGTGAAAAGTCATAAAATTTCATAAAATTAATTATAACAATGCATATCATAATAATTATTTTAATAATGTACCAATTAATTATGTTTTGATAATAGATAAATTAATATGATACTTCTTTTCTACCTATTAATTTAACAAGATTTAATAGAATTTTTTAACGATAGAAATACGTACAGTTTTTGTCTGATTATACACGATGAACTTATTGTTTAAATATAACTAAAAGTTTTCCAACGTAAAATTATTATAAATTCGTAAATAATTTATAACTGTATTTCACATAAAAATGTGAAATCGTTTTGTATTTAATTCAATTTGATATACGAAAGATTACAATAAATTTTAAATTACTAAGCTTTTAAAATATTATTGCTTATACTTGCATGAAAATCTTCATTATTTATCTTATCTCGTAACAAAAATCTCACATGTTCATAAGGATTTTAATAACAAATTGCATCATAAATTGTCTATTATTCTTCAATTTTAAAGTCGAGTATTCGTGTCAATTAATATTTGTACTTTAACATAGTCTTCGATTTCATGGAAAATATTATAAAAATAATGATATAGAGGGACTCAATGTTAATAAATATAAATTGTGTTACTACTGATACATAAAATACGAAATTATTTAAATTATGTAATATATAAAATGGAAATGTAAAATATAAAAATTTTAAAAAGAGTTTGAAAAATAGAATAGAAAAATAGAGAGCAGAGGCTGCTTTGACTACTTAATTGCTTTACATTTCCGCTACAGTAATCTTAATATAAACTTTATTTCATCATTTAATAAAAGTGATGGCTTTTAGAGACAAATTTTTCTTACATCTGCTGAAGGTTAAACGGCGTGGAAAATATTAAGGAGCAAAGATATGTACAAGAGAGAAGATTCAGATGGAAAAATAGATGGCTTTATTCAACTAGAAATGGGACCTTCCAATTTCGCCACGGAAGCTGTACTTTCAACTAAATCTGCAGATGTTTATGCATTTACATTCGCATTTTGCGATATTCGTAACAGTGCTCGAACATCGTTGGAATATAGTGTATTTGTTATCATTAGACAACATATAAACAAAATGCGTCAGAAGCGCGAAGTGAAATATTTCGCGATTTATGTATTTGTTATTTGGGCTTATTTTGACGCATTTTTTTTGTTGTGGTATTTCTCTTTTCCTTTTCTATTTTGTACGATATTTTTGCATCATTGCGGACTTCTGAGAGCAATTTGTTTTATACAATGAATCTAGTATTGCATATTTCCCTGGACTCGATTACTCAGCCTAATATCAACATTTTTTTTTAGTAAAACAAAATGAAAATGGCTGGATGAAGTCGAATAAACTCGATTATATATAGGATACGGCAAAAAGTATTTCATATATTTATAGATTTAATAAAGGATAGTAGAAAGAGAATGGTATTTTCCATTTAAAAGATAGGTAAATTAAATTAAAATCTAGTTTCTCTCGTATTTCCTTTTTTCTTTAGTTTTTTGTTAACAATTATTCTTAATGCATCATGAGCACGAATAGATGTAATTATTGGAGAAGGTTGATTATTTAATTACAGATATTTTCTTTTAGACATACAAAAGCGCATTGAGAAATTTCTACTGATTTCTAGTAATTCTAGTATTTAAACAAATAATTGCCAATCGATATCATATATATATATATATATATATATATGCATCATATGAAAATTAATGGTACTTTAAGCAATTATCATATTACATATCCTTCATATAAAAGATAATTTTATTATATAAATATACAAGTATCTTGAGTTTATTTATTAATTGAAATTTAAGACTTTATATTAATAATGATTAGTTAAGAAGGATAATTGAACTGGGAAGCTGTATCTATCTGTGGATTATCTAACGTATTCTAATTTTTTTATTCTGAAAATGTAAGCTAAGAAATTCGAAATGCAGATAAAGTAATTAAAAAATGAGACAAAATTACACACACACACACACATACACACACACGGAGAGAGAGAGAGAGAGAGAGAGAGAGAGAGAGAGAGAGAGAGAGACCAGAGTACCAACGGATAATTTAACGCATGCGCCGATATATATATATATATATATATATATATATATATATACACACACATATATATATATATATATATCATCTCTAATAGTTAGTCAGCGCTACGTCAGAAGTTAGAGATTGTCACATAGAGTAACAGATCTTTCAGTTTTGCGGGATCCACATTCCTAAAGACTTGTTGAGTTAATTGTTAGTAATAAAACAAAGTGACAAGTGCTGTGGACAACAAAAGGTGTGTACTACTTACGCGTATTTGCATAATTGACTAGTATACATAGCGAGGCAATAATTTCATTAGAGAAAATATAAAAAAAAAAAAAAAAAATAATAAACATTCAGATATAACTTCTCGTAAATTGAATAATCGGATTATTATTCATTTCCCTTTGCTGTTTGTTGTTTCTTACTTTTATCAAGTAAAACAATATACCACCACTTTCTTTTTATACGGGGTTCTGCGTAAATGTACGATGGTGGGGTGCTATAGTAGAACTGCGAAGTATAAAATCGATCGTCACAGGTACCCGAGGCTGACGTATGTTAAAAGTTCACCTGGAACAGCACATAAAAAAATAGACTATGCTTTTTTCTTTTTAATTTAAAGTGATAATGATTATAAGAATTAAGCTCTTGATAAAGAATAAGTAAGCCGAGTATTAAATTAATAATAACCATAATCTTTGATGAATTAATTGCATTAAAAATGTTTATTGATTTAGTTATATTTATGTAGAATTATCTTATAGCTTTGCAAAACTTTTTTCAACCAATCTATTCACCATCATCGACAGATTGATTAATTCAATTTATACTAAAAGCTATTGGCTATTTGTCAAGTTAGGCTTCTTAAAGTTCAAAAAATGTTATAAAATACTACTCTAATTATAATTATTATTTATAATGAATTTTTGAATGTTTTAACAACTTAATTTAATACTTCAAGTTTATTTATTTGCAGTAATTTAAATTGCAGTAATTTACGTGAAATAAGTTGCGATATATCCGAATTATACAGTAAGAATACATATTATGAATTGTGTATAGAATTATTTTAACAAAAATATTAGTTTCACCCAAAAAATCATTTTTATCTTTCATGATATATTTGTTACCGCTACTTTATAATATTACCCAATTAATTATTGAATATCAATTATTATAGATAATACAATATGACAATAAAATTACAATAACACAATATCAGTGTGTTAAATAAGAGATCGATCAACATTAAAATTTCTTTTAATATTATCTTGAAAAAATTATCATTTCATTTTTTGTACTGTCTTAATCAGTATTATTAACCTCTGCGCGCGCGCGCGCGCGCGCGCGTGTGTGTGTGTGTGTGTGTCATTTGCGCATATGATATTCGTCATTTTATAGAAACTAAAAATTTGATAATACATAAACAAATATCAGCATTCAATTATATATAATGATTTATAAAGTGTATTTTTTATATGTAAAATTTATAAACGTACTGCATCTTGGTTTATAAATATTTTTGAAAATAAGAACTTTCTTTAAGTATGTATGTATTACTATATATGTTGCTAAGTATAATAATACATTATTAAAAATAATTAGTTATATAATTTGTAATAAAACTACAGATATTATCACTAATTTCAATATAATGACTAGATTATTATTTAATCGAGTACAAAATCAAATTTTTATAATCTAATCAATTGATGTTGAAATACAAATACTTTTATATGCGTTAAGATTATGTTTAGCTCATATTATATTTAATTATATGAAAAATGATAGATAAAGATATATAAAGCAATATACAATTATTATTTATATGCATAGTAAAAATGTTTTTTTTTTGTTGTTCCATTAAATCTAGAAATTAAATAGATATTGTGTTAAAAATATGAAATTTAGAGTTATTCGATCGACATTATAAACAAATGCAATTTATATTGAATATATTAACTTAAATTATTATTTTTTTTTTTAATATAGTTTGATAGTTTTGTAGTGCCTCTTTTGATTTAATCGATTGTCTGCAATAAAATTTATGTAAAATAGCGATTTAAATAAATGGAAGATACGATAAAGACTCGATAGAATAATTGATTTATAAAAGTCTTTCTTTACCCTCTTAGTAATTGATAAATTATTTTTATTGCCACATTTGTAATCTAGTATTTAAATCACATATTTTCCATCTTTATGAATTTTATTATTCTCCAAATGTCAGTTATTTGAATAATAATAATAATAATAATAAAAAGAAAGAAAAAAAAGAGTAAAACATTATTATAGATACATGACAATGATGAGCCTAATTCATTAAATGATTCGATCATTATATCGACAGATTACGTTAGTTTGTAGTAAGAATATCGGTCGTGTGTACTTTACTATGTATGTACGGTTGACCAATTCGTTGATTGCACACTAATAGATGAAGTGAATTTGCATTGACGTAAATGGTCGTTTCTATACCAGTTGCCCTTGTTGATATTAGATTTGTGCACAAAATGTAAAACGGAGGCACATGAGTCAATTTGCTGAACTGTTTAGAAATATTTGTATTGCTGCAGTATTAACATAAACGTCGTATAAAAATTTAGAGACTAGAATCGTATCAATATTATGTTAAAATAAATTACAGGCTAATTAGTTACGTAAATTACGCACTAATAAAAAAGATTTATACTAGAACATGAAAATTAACTTTTAACATAATATTCAATAATAACGATTAGTACTTTTGATAAAGAAGCATGAGATATAAATAATATCTGATAAATAAGATTTTACTCGAATTTTTAATAAGGATTTTATGAAAAATTTGAAATGGATTAATTTTATATTTATTATCATTATTGTTATTATTATTATTATTATTATTGTTATTATTATTATTATTGTATTTCCAGGTTCGATGAAAAATGAAGAAAAAAGAATTTAAGATGTAGAATATCTTGTGCAATTATTTTAAATTTCATTTTTATATAACGTTTATGGCTTTTTGTTTTTAAGACATATGATTTTAAGCTACATTATGTTATAAACATTTGATATTGTTAAATAATATTTAAGAGATAAAATCAAATCTATATTATTAACGAGGTAATGATATCATATGATACAATTCTTTTTTTTTGTCTTTTTATTTGTTCAAATATATACTAAAATTTATTTTCGAAAGTGATTGAAAGGAATATACTCTGTTTATCACTATATATTATTATTTCGTTAATAACACGTCTAAGTTGATTAAATTGAATATTTACTTTTGTTTTGGAAAATTGAAATTGAAAGGTTTGTAAAATTGAAAATTTTATGATAAATAAATTAGTTGAGCAGAAATTTAGCGCATACGGTATATTTATATACTTAATAATCTACAGTAATTTATTGTGAAATTTATATAAAATTATATTTATATATAACTAATTGATGATGTATATGTTTTCTAGAAAATAATACATTAATTGTAGATAAATAAAAAAAAAAAGAAGTATATTATGACCGAATAAAATTAAACTTATTAAGAAATTGCATGAAAAAAAAAATAGATAATAATAAGTGAATGAAGGTTAATAAAGACACGTTATTTATTAACAAATAGAAATATAATTACAGCTTTGACACCAAAAAATGGAATAAAAAGATTAATTACGATACATTATAGTCTTTATTATTTCAGAGAAATAACGTATTAAGCCAGTAACTTATTTCTTAATTAACTTGCATTCATTGAAATTGCTACCCTATTCGGTAATTGATTATTCAAGGCATAATTCAAGATCAAATAACAGCATTCAATAAGTTTATGAATAAGTTCAATAGGTTTTCAATAAGTTCAATAAACTTATATCTCGAGTAAAACTGAAATTTTGAATTATTTATTAATACTTTCAATACTATAACGAATACATATGCATTTAAGTATGTAATGGTTCTAATATGGAATAATACAAAAAAAGTTCGTAGAGCAAAATTAAATATACATCGTACGGCTGATAAAACTTGAATATGTTGGTTTGGCTTCTCTAGGGTGTGAGTGTGTGCATCTGTTTGAGTGGGTCAAGTGTAACAAATAATTTGTTATGACAATATCGTTCGTGAAGTATATAACTTCTCATATATTCATTGGAACTTCTATCGACAGATTGTTCTTATGCGAATCGAAAATTCTAATAGGTGAATGTGTTGCAGAATTAGAAAACTTTGTTACTCCATTTTCTAACCATTTCTTACCAAAATATAAAAAGAAAATTGAAAAAGTATTTTTAATGCAAATGCACGCTTTTAAAAGAAAAAACGTTTATTGTATACAGTTTTTTTTTTTTTTTTCTACTCTATAAATTTATCCAAAAATCTATATCTACTTGGAACAATAGAAATACTCAAACCTTCTTGAAATATGTATATAGCGGATTTATTGAAAAGAAAATTGGTTAAATTTGTTGTACGTCAGTAATTGCACGAGATAAACAATCGTTACCCCGACTAAACCCTCGATTACTTATTATTATAAAAGCCTATAAAAATGACTATTACTTTTGTATGTAAAATCAAATGGTTTCGGAAGATTTTCGTTGCTCGATCTTTCACAATCTATCATAAAGAATATCATCGATACCGATCAATTTAATCAATTTATCAATTGTATTCGTGTTAATCGTAATTAATGGCGTTACTCGGCTATTAATGGCGCACTCGGCCATTAATTTATACAAATCCGTATTAAACGCAGAAAGTATGATGCTTATCGAAGTATGTAATCTTATCGAGAAAACAATTGTTAATTCTATCTCAGCCCCATTGAGAGGATGAAAGTCTCATTTTACAATCTGCTTTGATGTATAATCAATGTCATATATGAACCTCGAGGATCTGTTAAATACGAATGTTTTTCCTTCCTCTTTTTTTCTTTTCTAAGCTCAACTACTTTTATTCCAGTAGCTAACTTCAAAATATAATTCGACATTGTGTGATAATTTAATTGTAGGTACAGCAGTGCGCTACAAAGACAAAGACTTATCGAGATTAAAATCGAGGTGAGAGATCGCCGCAAACTGTCTAAAATGAAAACGTACGTGATGCTGACATTGGCAGTTTTGTCAAGCAGCATTAATGGCGAAGTAGATGCATGGGGTGGTCTATTCAATCGCTTTAGTCCAGAGATGCTCTCTAATATGGGATATGGGAGCCATGGAGGGTACCCAGGTCGATCGTCTGCTTTTCTTCAGGTATTTGCTCGAAAGCTTTCGTGGTATTGGCACGAATGACGTTTGATGGCTGATGAATAATTCATTGGCATTACGTTGGTAACTACTAAATACTTTTAGAGCTCAAAGCTTTGGAATTTAAATGCATAATGAAGCTCAGAGTGGATTTGAAAAATGTCCAACCATCTATTATTACGAGATGAAAGAAGAAATCCTGAACTAATTTTATCGTATGTTTAAGATATTTTTCTTTTTCGTTATAAAGTCAATTAACATGTGAATTGCCGAGAGCTGAACATTATTACCGCATTTCCATGAAAATTTTTAATATCATTGAGAATTTTTAACATAGTTTTATTAATTAAATATTCGAGCCGTCGGCTGACAAATGTTTGCGATAAGCTATCAATGAGCGATTATAAAGGGAGTGGATGATATTTTACAAGGAAAATTTCGAGTTTCTTCAACATTTTCATTGGCAAATTTCATTTAAAGCTAAACTCCTGTAAATGGCGGCAAATTTTTTGCACTCTTCTTTCTAAAGGCTTCTCGATTATCCCGAAAAATGAAGGATGGCCTTTATAAATCCATCAAAGCTAAATTTTGGACAATTATAATTGCTCGCTTATCGCTTATCGCAACTGCGACTTACGATTTATATAAGCATATTTATAATAAATAACGTTTCACCCGCGTTCGAGTCGATGAGCGAATAAATGTTCGAGAGCCAGATTGGCTATAAGTTTATATCCTAATAATTGGATTAATTGATGTATGAACAGCATGGCGGTTCTTTCAATGATAATGGATTAGACGAAGGAGCGGAAGAGCCATGTTACGAGAGACGTTGTAACACCAACGAGGACTGTTGTGCTGCTTCCGTTTGCATTAATCCCGATGGAGGTAAATACCAACTATAAGTTTACTTTTAAATATTTTAAATTTTTATCTTCCGAGGCTTTGGTATCGATATATTGTATTAGAGGCTATACGATGTGTAAGAAAATTATTTGTCTTGTCGTAAAATCGATAGAAATTAAAGTGCCGTATAAAAGTAGTTGTATTATTGAATTATTTATCGGCTTAATAATTTTTTAATATTGGCTCGAAAGATAAATTTAATTACAATCCAATCAACGACAATATATCGATGCACAGAGATGATCCACGCATCTTTGACATTAAAGCTCTTCTATCTATCTATCTATCTATCTATCTATCTATCTATCTATCTATATATATATATATATATATATATATATATATATATATATATATATATATATATATAGTAAAAAAAAATTTATACATTAATCATATCGTATGAGAAATCACGTAAAATTGTCCATGTATATATAAATCCGTACAATTCGTAGAATGGCCGGAAGGACGTTGCATGTTCATTTACGGTCTTAAACAGGGTGAGCTTTGCAGGAGAGACAATGATTGCGAAACAGGACTTATGTGTGCCGAAGTCGCAGGTAGTGACAGCCTTTCCTGCCAACCACCCGTGACATCAAATAAGCAATACAGTGAGCATTGCGTAATTTTTTATTGCTTTGTATATCGATTGGTAGCCAAGGGCCATCCATCATTATTATCTCAATCATTATTTATAATGAAACAGGCGAGCAGTGCAGCATGTCTGGCGAATGCGATATTAGCCGAGGTCTTTGCTGTCAGCTCCAACGACGACATCGTCAGATCCCAAGAAAGGTATTGCAGCGTTTATGCACATTTTAATTGGCATGATTGAGTAATGTAATGTGCGCCCGTGATAAAAGAGGGGGAGGGGGCTTTTTCCTTCTTTTTCTTCTTCATTCTTATCGGGCAATATTGGTAAATAGTGGCAATATTGGTAAAGGCACGCTTACATTTATTATTATTATATTATTATTATTATTATTATGTATCGGTGCGATTGTTATTGTACAAGTCATAAAAACATAAGCATTATTATATTATTTGTCGTATAAGCTTTAAATATATAATTATTGAGCATACGAGATGTATATAGATTTTTTGTTTTCAAGATGCGCATAGAACGTGTAAAGTTTTTATAACTAATCTTCATCGTTGCTGTCATAGAGTTACTATTTTCACTTGGAATTTTGTACGAGAATAAGTTTGTTTTCGAGTCTTATACGCGTATTACGGCTCGTCGATATTCATAAAATCAACTTTGTAGTAAACATTGCAATTGCATTCGCAAATACTATTGTTCTTTTATTTGCAATTTTTAACTTTATCTCAGACATGATTGCATATATCTTGAAATTAGGTTTGATTTTCTTCTACAAGTCCAATCGGCGCGTATTTATTAAACGTTAAAAGTAATTTATTATTAAGCGAGAAACGCGAACGATCACTCAGTATTTAAAAGTATGTTATTGTGTATTTTATAAGTAACTACGTAATGTGCTATTATGAAGTTTAAGAATTCAAAATTTAAGACGGATTGCCATCTTTTAACATATTATCCCCTTCACATGTCCCATTTGGTTTACAATTTTCACAATTTCACTTTCGTTATGACGCCCAATCCTTTCAACCACACAATCTACAATCGCTAAATGAAATACAGAAATCCATAAATGATTTACAGATGTGTTCGTACTTCAAGGATCCTTTAGTTTGCATTGGCCCAGTGGCAGCGAATCAAGTGAAGCAAATTGTCCAATACACGTCTGGCGAGAAGCGGATTACCGGAAAGCAAAATCGATTGTATAAGTGAGAAATTCAATAAGCAACTTCCTTCGCTTCTTTAAGATTTTCCTTTATTCTTAAGATTTTTTCGCTTCGCATTTGATCGAGCTACAAAAAAAAAAAAAAAATTTTCAACTCTAATGCTAATTAGTCGCATAGACAAGTTTGATAGAATTTATTGATTATACGAGAAGATTCAATGGTATGGATTCACCGATGCCAGATGAATCATTATATTGATATTATTCTAGTACTGACTTACTTACAACTCAATTTTATCATGAGAAAATATATCATTTACATTTAAGTATTTATTTAATTTAAAATACTCTTCTTATAAGAAACTATTTTTTTTACTCAATTAAATACTCGATAAAACAATTATTATAGTATTTAGTATGTCTTTCTATTGAGACAAAACTATGAAAGTTTGAGAAAGTATTTACAATACTAAAGGATAAAAACCTTAAATTATAGGGGGCAAAAATATATTTAAATAAAAAATTATTAATGTATTAAATCAATATATTTCAATGATTTTCAATATATTCAAAAAATATTATCAATAATATTTCAATATTTAAAACGTTTCCCGATTGTCGGGAAGTTCGAATAACAATTTGTGATTGTAAGATATATAATTTTTTCGAAAAAAGTTCCCTGTCATTTTATTCAAAACAATATTTACATATAATACAACTATTAATTATATAAAAAAACAAATCTATTACATTTATCATTGGGCTGAATTTTTGAGATATCAATTTAAGATACAAGATCTTTAAATATATATATATACATAATTCTTTTTTTTTTCTTTTATTTAACACTCGTTCATAGTTATTGGAAATTTAATAAAATTCTTATAAGAATTTAGAAGATATTTCCAAAATTATATATTTTATTGAATTTGTAGTTTATAAATATATTAAATAGAGTCGATGAAACTATGAAATAAAAGAGAAATTAAAACTAAACTGTAAAGTTAAATATTAAGCGAATATATATCAAATTTTCTTCATTTGTTAATTAATATGAAATTATGGTTAGTATTCCTTGTTTAATGTCATTATTATGAAATTCATTTATTTGACTTATGTTCAAATTTTAAGCATATAAAGATATATATATATATATATATATATATATATATACAAATATATTGCATAATAGTATATTATAATTCATATTTACGATGCATGTTATACAATATTATTAAAAAATATTTTAAAAGGGAAAAAAATCGGTATTTGTTTTTAATAGATTCATTTAAGTGAAGTATTACTAAACGAATAATTTGATATAAAATATTATTTCGCGTACTTTCACGCCAATTAAGTGATAAAAGGCTGGTTAAAAATTAATCGGTTAAAAATTAAAAGTTAAAAATTATTGCTGGCATTGTCATACGGTTATTTAAATTCTAGAAAATAACGATATATATATATATATATATATATATATATATATATGCGTAAATCTTACATATCTACTAATAATATTGATGACTTTACTGCGACTGAAAAATACATCACATATCAAGATTTGTGCATTAATCTTTATGCATATTAATATAGTAAATATACATTGTAACGTATTTCATTGAAAGCATATATATATATATATATAATAATCTATGAATGCACAAAAGTGAGGAAAAGTGCTTTTAAAAGTGAAATACAACAACTTACTTCTTCTGAGATGAAAACCACGAATGATCCTTGAGTTGTGACTGACATTGCAAGTAAATGTAATTAAAAAAGTCATTTTGACATATATGTACCTGTTTTTCATTCGGTGATGTAAGACATATTTCGCACAGCAGCGTTAAATAGTAAAATAGCAAATTAAATTCTATAGATTATAAATAATTTGATTATTGATAATTTTTAATTAAAATGAATAATATATATAAATGAAAATGCTGAAAACGTTTCGATTAGAATATATATCTTTCAATTGAATAGACGTACGTAATTTCAATATATATATATATATTTAATCTTATTAACTTAGTAAGTATATTTAATAAAATTATAAAGATATATATTGAAATTAATATATTACGCCTAATATTTCCTATCTCCAGATAAATGCTTTATATCTGTTTATAAATACTCATGTATTGCACCTATGTGTGTATATATATATATATATATATATATATATATATTTTTTTTTTTTTTTTATTCGTACTATGTTTATAATTTAATATTAATAATAATCTTTCAGAGATTTTTATTATTCTATTAATTCAGATGAAAAACACTTCTTTGAAATTACTGTGATAATATATTATGAGAAAAAGGATAGCGCGAACGTTTTTCACACATTATATAATTGTATATTGTCATATTCACTTAACTTGCTATTTGAAATATTTTATTTTTTAAATTTTCAAATATGTTTGTCTACATTTTAAGTTTCTTTCTTATTATTTTGCCCGATTGAGTATAAGTTGAAATCAATTGTTTCCAGCTTTCTTATCTTTATTATTTATGCATTATAATGATATTATTATGATATTATAATTATAACATAACATAGAAAATAGCCAGGGTTAATACATGATACATAAAGTCTTTTGTTTACAATGTATTTTAATAATTGCAAGCGATCACTCAGATGCCTAAAAAGCAGAATATCTAGTTTCAATGTATTGAAATTGAGTAGAATGAAATGAAATCTGTATAAATGTGCATAAGCGAATGTTTGATGTATATGAAAATTTGTATGTAGAGCGTACGTGCGTATGTATGATCGAATGCATGGGTGCGCGCTCGTATTATACATGAATTATTACAATTCATATTTATCAATATATGGCATTATATTGTGCATGCACGCGTGCATGTATAAATGTCGACCTACTGTATTTAAATAAATATTTTACTACGAAATTATACTTTTATTTTTAATCAGTATATGTAAATTACATATTTGAAGTAAAATATATACGTATGATAAATGTTCTAATGTACGCATGTATTGAAATTCACATTCCTACAAACGAATATGATATATTTTCTCAAGACAGTATACACCGTTCTCGCATATTTCTGTATAAAATGTGTATTATATGATTACAAATTCAAAATGCATTAATCCCAGGTGAGAATAATGAAGTTTTATAGAGGAGTAGAAAAGTATTAAGATTTTAAGTAAATTTTCAATTTTTTTTTTTTTTTTTTCTTTTTACATTTGTTTAAACGATATTTTCATTTGAAACGTTAAAAACAACAAGTGAATAAGTGAATTTTTAAAAATTAAGAAAAACTTTGCTTTGTCTAATGAAATTTTTCTGTTTATGTTAAATGTTTACGTCAAAATAACAATGATTTTAGATAAAAATATTACTAAGAGGAAAATATTTTTTTTTTCCTTTTTTAAGAATGACTTATTTGTTAATAATAAGCAGACGTAAGTGTGTATTTTTATGCTATTTATTGTTCAGACATATGTTTTTGATGAATAAGAGCTTTGTGAAAGATTTAGATCAAAGAATAATATATTGTATTGAACGCTATATAAATATAAATTGTTAAATTAAATATTTTGGTACATTATACTACATTTCTATTAAGTTTTTTTTATTATTTTTTCTTTTCTAAATTATAATCGTACTAATTATTTTAATTGTAAAACTTTCTGCATTATCTGTAAAAATGTAGTACATTTATAATAAAGAATAGGAAGGCTTTAAAGAGGAGTACTTAAATTAACATAAGAAATTAATTATTATCATATTATCTTTTATATTCTACATGTGAATATTTGTAACGTAACGTATATATGAAGATTATCAGACTAATGTCTTTTGTATTACATTGTTTAATTAGCTAGATATTACATTAGTTAACTAAATTAAAAAAATAAAAAAAAATTTTTTTTTTTTTTTTTTTTTTTTTTATTAAAAAAACAGTAGATATAATAATCGTGATGCAAAAATTTATAATAAAAATTAGTTGTCATATCGTGTCAGTATTAATACACCATTTTTCTCCGTGTGTATATTTTTGAGCGCAATATTGAAATGATTAGAATTAGAATATTTTTAATTAAATTACTAGTTATAGTAAACAAGGGTTATATGGTTTTAAAATGATTTAAAATCATTATAGCACCTATTCGACAAGCTCTTTTTGTATTTTTTCTTTTTAAATCACAGAATATTACAGGATCGTATAGCCTAACCATTTATTCAAACATACTTAATATTAATGAGAAATGCATACAAATATCTTCTGTAATAAACACAAAAAGATTTTAATAATTTTGATACTGTGATACGATGCATACTTGTTGTTTTTCATTTTATGATTAAATTGTTGTTAATTGTTTTTTAATTCTTTATTATTATTATTATTATTATTAATTTGTTTTTCTTTTCAATATAAATATGAAAGTTTTATTTAATATTTTTAATACATAGTCGATACAATTAAATATCAAATAAAATGATAAAAATTTTAAAGGAAACTATTAAAATTTAAAATAAATATTATTTTTAAATGTTCTATTTGTTATCAAATCTTTATTAAAATTTAAAATAATAATAATAAGAAAAATAAATCGTATGTATTTAATAGATGTAATATAGATTGTGCTATTTCAAAATATTTAGATTGTAGTGTTGAACATATTGTGTATTGAAAAATGATGAATTTCATAAAGCTTACAAAATATATATTCAAAGTGTAGTGAAAATATTCATACTGAGAACTTCATACTGAATATTCATATAGTGAAAACTTCATACTTTTATGAAAAAAATCTGAAAACTTTGGATCTATGATTTTATTTTATTTTTTATTTTTATGTATTAGAAAAGATAATAATCAATGATAACGTATCTTTACGAAGAGATTTATAATCGGTTGATTATATTTCTGTAATAGTTTTAAATAATTGACTGCGTAGAAATTTAGAATCAGAGAAACCAAGAAATTTATTGTATTCGTATGGGCATTATTCTTAATTAATGAGGCTAATTTTAGATATAAATTTATCATAGATCATGATAAAATAAAATATTTTACAGTATTAAAAGGCACGTTTTGTAATTAGTGTTTAAAATAATAATAATAATAATTCCTCTAGTAATTGAGAATAGTTATCAAAATACATAAGCACAGGCTCATATGATTTGTATAAGAACGATGTAATTTGAAGAAGTGCTGTATTAATTATTGATAAATTCGTGCAATTTTAAATATAATGCTTGTACACTCTTCTGTGGTTATGTAATTAAGCAGAAATTAATGTGTAATTGCGAAGACTCAAAAAGTATTTCAATAGAAAAGCAGTAAAATTTCGACTTACATAATATATATTCAATTTAAAAGTAGACTAATTATATAAATGTACGTTGATAATTAGAATGTTTCGTAGATAGTTAATTTATAGCGGGCATACGAGGAATATTATTTAAACGATTTAAAAATAATTATATCATTTAACTAAATTTAATGGGAGATAACAAAAAAATCTGTCTCAATGTTGAAATAAACACTATTTATTGCGATGTTTTATTAGTGAAAATTATGAAAAATTATAATGAATGTATATGAATATCTATATTGTGGACTGTCGTTACTGTTTATTCTGATGCCAATGCTTACACTTTTCAAAACTATCGTATTATTAAATATTAAATATTCTTAATTATTTAATTTTATAATACCTCTATAGATAGACATATTTTTTTATTAAAAAAAATTTTTATCGGCTTGTTATTGTAATTATTTTATAATTCAATCATTGTTGTTTATTTATAATGTATTTGGGATTAAAGACTTTTGTATCTGTCTTCTCGATTAACTTGCAAACTGACTTTTATCAGTAATATTATTAATTAAATTATAGTTGCACTTACTTTGAATATCGACATCATATTACGTATTACACGTATTACATAAAAATATTTTAATATATATGTATATAATAATTAGTGTAAATTTTATAATTAACAAAACTTTTGAATTTGTGGTGATTCATGTTAAAAAAAAAAACAAACCTTTTAGACATTGTGTTTATTATAGATTTTAGAAGATTATCGTTTCATATTTATTTAACAAATTTCTAAAACGTTTTTGCTATATTTAAATTTATTATAATGATAATTTGTAATTATCTATTATATATATATATATATATATATATATATATATATATACGCATATACATAAGAAATTTATAATGAACATATAATTCCATAAAATAGACGTATCATAGTACGTAAGAATACAAAATATTAGCTGGAATTAATTAATTCTAAATACCAAGCGTTAAATATTATTATTATATAAGCCGAATAATTTGAAAGAAGTTTTTAAACTGTAGATTCTAATATATCAATTATTTGCAGCTTTTCTTAAATAATATTTCTTAAGTTTAAATCACTTTTAAACTTATAACTATGCAACTAAATATAAAGATTATTACCAAAAAGTATAATTAAAGTAGATAATTAGAATATTATAATTTGTAATGATAAAGTATTCAAACGAAATTATTGATTTGTTGGTGATTTTATCTGTTGCTGAACATTGTTCATCTGGAAACTGCAGTCAATGATGTTATATGTGTGTGTGTGTGTGTGTGTGTGTGTGTGCGTGCGTGCGTGCGTGCGTGTTGCGTGCGTGTGTGTAGCAATTCTATATGTATTATTGATATAAGTAGCTTGTATATCAAAAGGCAGTAAAATCTTAATTAAATATCTTAAAAAAAAAAAGTTCAATTATTGTTTTCCTTCTCAGTTATATCCCACTTCTTATCCAAGCGTCATAATTTATAAAATCATTATTTCTTATACCGAGGTGTTTATACTTGAGTATATTTTATCTTAAAAGAGCTTAAATAAATGTTAGATTTAACAATAACTTACATTTCTTGTTTTTTTTTTTTTTTTTTTTTTTTTTTTTTTGTTCTTTTTTTATAAATGTTATTCGTTAGGGTATATATATATATATTTACTTATAATTATTGTGATAATTTGTGGTGTTTACAGTATTTCAAATTCGTATTGCGCAAACTTTACAGATCATAACCAATGAGTATGTAGAATTTTATAGGAAATTGTCAATACGACTATTTACATAAAAATGCCTACGTTGTCTTATTTACTTTTTGTCCTATATTTATATAATAGGGATTTTGTTTCTATTTTGGTGTTTTTAAAGCAATAAGCTGCTGTCTTAATTGTTTTCAAAATCAAATTTAATATTTACGTAAGGTAAACGTCGTTGCCAATACACAGGTTGTGAGATTTATGAGTCAAAGAATAATCTATTTATTTATATCCAACGTTTGCGAATTCGACTCGGTTATCTTCATCATATTAAGATTATTAATGAATAAGTAGTGTTGGATCTTTGTTCGATACCGAAAAAAAAATGTCATAACCCAATAAAGTTCACAGCAATTCACCCAATAAAAGGAAGTACATTACTAAATAAATAAGTATACAATCTCATCGATTATTATGAATTATAATTATTCCAGCTATTGGAACAATTAAAGCATTATTGGCTTGTAGAATGGCGAGCTTGGTAATTAGCTTGGATATTAATAAAATATTCTTATTATTGCCAGGAAAATGTCGAGCGTATCGTTAATTTTGCGCACTCGGTGGCTATTAGAGCGTTCGCTTGTAAAAAAAAAAAAAAAAAAAAAAAAAAAAAA